TAAAGAGAGAAGGATGCATGACGAGTACGTAACGATAACGCTTTACGAATGAAGTGGAGTCGTGCGAGGTCTGATGCGTCCTACCAGGCGTCTTGGCCTACCATTTCGATGGAAAATCTGCCACGTCAAGCTTATCAGCCGCTACAACTATAAGTAGAAGAAATGCACTATCGGCTAGCACGCCAGCTCCTGTCAATAATGCAGGGAGAGGAGATGTAAGATGCCACGCAAATAATGCCAATCATTGCGATTTATTGCTAAGCCCTTGTTTAGTTCCACCAACTTTGCACCTTCAAATTTTGCACAGTGCAAAATTTTCCATCACATCACGTTACATCAAATCTTTAAACATATACATGGAGTATTAAATGTATCTCAAAAAAATGACTACTGTCACAGTTTTTAGCGTACTTTGGGAGACTGGCGTTTTAAGCCTAATTAGTCAACGGTTGAGCAATTATTATCAAATCACTGGGATGCTGACCCTGCCACAATCATTTGTGCTTTTTGGTTGTCCAAAGTTTGAGTAACTAAACACACCCTAAAGAGAGAGAAGGATGCATGACGAGTACGTAACGATAACGAGTGACGAGCTAGATGACACGGAGGGGGCGAGGTCTGATGCGTACCTACCAGGCGTCTAAGTCCCTGTAGACAACGATGTGCCACGATACAAGCTTCACTGCAAGCCTGCAACATAGAACATACTAGTGTATTCTTCGACCTTCACCAGTAGTATCTTGTGCTAATGTGTGCTGTACTCTGTTTATCTCAGCCTCCTGATGACTGTCCTCCCGATAGCGTGGCTCACACTGGCGTTTGCAGTAAGGGAGCACATTACATGAGCTCATCACTGGTTCACTGGGAAGCTGACCCTGCCACAATCATTTGATTATTCTGCATGATCTATAGCTGGACTGAGATCAGCTGTAATGCTAATAATGATACACATGGCCCCGTTGGAATACTAGCTACTGACGTGTGAGACAACAATCATGCAAAAGTCGTTGATTTGTGTCAGTGGTCACAGTGCAATTGGGAGAAAAAATCGTGTTGTGGCGAATGGTGAAAATAAGCTGCTGCTCCTGAATATGGGATAAGCAAGGCTAAAACCTAGTAATCACAACTGGTGGCCCTTTGAAAGCTACGGCTACGGCCGGAACCAAAAGATCGTCAGATAATATAATTACGCTAGTCATGATCAGAAACAAACAGCATACACTGACAACCAGCTCGCAGACATCGCGCTTTGAAAACTTTATTCAAGAAAAAAAAATCTCGGGTCGAACCGAACGATCGAGGGACGGACAGACGGCCGTAGATATATATATATATATATTTTTAAAGGACGGCAAAAGCGTAGCTGGGCTTTTTATGCTATTGATCAGGGCAAGTGGTCACGGGTGATATGATTTATTTGGAATACTAGCTACTGACGTGTGAGACAACAATAATGCATGGAGTCGTTGATTTGTGTCAGTGGTCACAGTGCAATTGGGCCAATCAGTGTTGTGGGGAATGGTGATGATATGCTGCTGCTCCTGAACTTTGCACTGTACGCAGTTGCCACCAGCAATCCATCATATAGGTGAAACTGCTCGCAATGGCCAAATGTGTTGGCTTCTTCATCAGGTAGGTTCAACAATAGATAAGCACAGACTACGCACTTGCTCCTGAAGATAACGAGAAGTACGTAGCGTACTAGCGTTCAAAAACTTTCGTGGCGCGACACGGTTCGTAACTTCGTACCGTTTTCTCGTAGTATAAAAAGCAAGTTACATACTACTCCTGCTCCTCCTTGGGAGCACATAGTTGATGTCACACTCAGTGCAGGGCCGATGCCAGGATAAATCGTCCGGGTCGAGTGGCAATATAAAATTATGAATATAACCCTAATAATTAATAAAACAACAAATGACATATCGTGACAAATCACAATGTATTTTACTTGCGTTTTAAATTATTACCTGACTAATTAAACACTAACGCCTAATAGTTCTTTTTTACATTTACAATTCGGTAATGCTCCTGTTAGGGCGTTCGTCTGGACTGGACAAACCCACCTCGCACCGTGCGCCTCCTGCCTTGCGTTGTGCACCCTACACCTTGTGCCTCGCATGGTTGCACCGAACTTGCCTTGCGCCGCGCGTGCCCCACGCCTCGCGACGCACCCCCCTACGCCTACCGCCTAGCGTCGTGAGCCCCGCTGCACCTCGCGCCACGCACGGTCGCACCGGACCCGCCTCATGCCGCACACACTTGCCCATGCCTCGCACCGTCCAGCCTCGCGTAGCGCGCTGCCCGCTTCTCGTGCCTCACGCCGCCCGCGCCTCGCGCTGTGCTCCCCCGCGCCCGCGTCAACCTTCATTAGGCTGCAGTAAGTAGATGAGCACGTATTGCAGCCGTATGTTTCATGCGTTTCATATGTATGTTGCATCTATATGTTGCAAAATTAGATCTTGTGTTGCATATATTGCAATGGCTATATACGTGTTGCAAGTATCTATTTCAAATGTTTCAAACGTATGTTGCAAGTGTTTTATCTGGATGTTGCATATGTTGCAGTGGCTATACACGTATGTTGCAAACATGTTTCCAAATGTTTCATTGTTTCATCTGGATGTTGCAGTGGCTATAGACGTATGTTGTAAGTGTATGTTCCAAATATTTCACCTATTTCAGACGTATGTTGCAAGTATTTTATGTAGATGTTGTTTTATTTTTGCAGTGGTTATACACATTGTTGTAAACGTATGTTTCAATTATGTTCAACTGGTTTCAGTATGTTGCACCAAGTGCAGCTCCCCACGCGCTCTAACTCGTGGGCATGCACGCGCTGCACACACCCATCCAGTGCTGCCTATCTCTGTCATGCGGGCGCGAACTTAGCAACAGCAGCAGCAAGCGCGGGGCGCGAAGCATCGTGGGCAGGCACAGCAGCACACGGGTGCGTGGGCATCCGAACGTCAGAGCGCTACCATGGCCCTTTACAATTTGCAACCAGCCATACATAAAAAACTACTAATTTTCTTACTTCACAATTTTGCTGGAATAAAAAATAGGAGAAGGTACCTTAATCCGATACGAGCAACAAAATGACATATCTGCACGATTATATATTTGAGGAAAAATAAGATCTTAAACTCGATATTGGTCAACCTAAAAGTGATCCACATGGTTCAAAAGTTTGACGATTTTTTGTGAATTAATGAACTGCACTACTTCCTCCATACTCAAAAAAAAAATCGTTTTAGGATAGCGACACGGTCTCTAAAGTATTACTTTGACTCTTGTTTTTTATAAAAATATTTATCAAAAAGTGATATATGTATATTTTTATGAAAATATTTTTTAAGACAAATCTATTTATATGGCTTTCACATTTCCAAACTCAACAACTTAAAAGTTATCAATGATTTATATTCTTAATATTTAATCCAACTCTTGTCCAAAAATAACTTTATTTTTTAGTACGGAGGAAGTATATACTTGTGTCTATGTATTGGACCGATGCGAATAGTGGGGAGCTTCGTGGCTACCGGCTACCGCCCTCACCCGCTAGTCGATAGCTGCCACTTCGCCAAGGCGCACGGCCGCACAGACGCGAGAAGTCAGGAACGACATCACTACATCACAAGTTCACAACGAAGGGGAAAGGCCAAAAAGTGCGAGTTGGAGCGTTGGTCCGTTAGGACAGTTTCAATAGAAGAAGCTGATGCGGTTTCTATATTTGAAATTATTTATATTTCTACGGTGAAGGTGTTTTTTTGAATAATTATTTTCTTTCTTTTCAAACTCTAACTTCCTCCAACGGGGACATAGGACCGCTGCGAATAGTGGGGAGCTTCGTGGCTACCGGCTACCGCCCTCACCCACTAGTCGGTAGCTGCCACTTCGCCAAGATGTATGGCGCACGGCCGCACGGACGCGTGAAGTCACTACATCACAAGTTCACAACGAAGGGGAAAGGGCAAAAAGTGCGAGTTGGAGCGTTGGTCCGTTAGACAAGCGGAGCAACCAGGGTAGGAGGGGATGCTGCTGGACCTGCTGAGCTTTTGACTTGATCATTAATTTGTCATAATAACTGGTGAAAAATCCCAATGTACACGAGGGTACCCTAAGGTCGTTGGGGTCGGCCGACCCATACGTCGTAATGTAGCTTCGCCGCTGCTACAGTGACTCATTTGCACAATTAATTGGTTTCTTGAGTTGCCATTGGCCTCGATTTAGATGTCTCTTCGAGTTAACGAACATGTGAAAGGGCTTCACATCTCATACACAATAACGCCAGCCGAATGAACCTATAGTAAATTCAATATACAAAAAAAAAATCAAAACGACTTATAATTTAAAATAGAGGGAGTAGCTCCCAAACATGAACACATGTGTTTGGGTCGTTTATGCATCAATGAGCCAAGTTCTCGCATCTAATTAGACAAACTATGGGATATTAGACCAACATGCACCTACCTAAATTGTTGCCGCATTAAATTGGACAAATTATATGACGTTGGACTAACATGCACCCACTTAGATAGTTATTGAACGGTGAGTGCAATTTACTCTAAAAAAATACAATATTTATTTTTTGAGAAGTCAAACAATTTAAAAATTGATCAAATCTATATAAATAAAAAACTATTAATATTTATGATACCGAATAAATTATTAGATCAAATCTAACCATCGAAAGAACAAACCGGACAAGTATGCGCAGAGATTAGACGATGCTACGTACGTAATCCAAGCAAGGTTTGGTCGCTAGTCACTCAATTCAGATCCCAATAGCATCTAGCAAGTGGTAACAGAGTTGAGGTGCCGCTGGCGTCTGTGACAGTGATCTCGCATTTGGCGCCAAGCTGACATATAGCTCGCCGCCGCCTTCCCTCGTTCCTCTGCTGCCACAGCTCTTCCATACTTGCCACGACTCATACTCGTCGCGGCGCCGCCGTTGAGTAACGCCTCGCCATCCCAGTCAGAGCAAGGGAGAGGAAGAGCGGATGACGATCACCTCATCCGTCAAGCTCGCTGGAGGCACGCTGTCAGTCTGTGGCCGGGCGGTCCTGTCCGGCGTGCCCGCAGCCGTAGTAGCGTCCTCTGCTGCAGCGAGGGGAGCAGTCGACGGGGTCTTCCTCGGCGCCGACCTCGCCGAGTCAGCCTCCCGCCATGTCGTCTCCGTCGGCGCCTTACGGTCTGGTGCCGACCCTGAGAACACGTGAAAAAAATTTGCGATTTTTCGGTCCACTCCGCTCTGATTTTGGATTTTGGTTTGGGCGACGACGGCGCAGGGACGTGCGGTTCATGGCGTGTTTCCGGAGCAAGCTGTGGTGGATGTCGCAGCGGATGGGGGACAAGGGCGGCGACGTCCCACACGAGACGCAGTTCCTGCTCGTGGAGTCCAGGGGCGCCGGCGGCGGTGAGGACGCGGCGTACGTCGTGTTCCTCCCGCTCGTGGAGGGCGCGTTCCGTGCCAGCCTCCAGGGCGGCGCGGGCGATGAGCTGGAGCTCTGCGTCGAGAGCGGGGACGCCGACACGCGCGCGGCATCCTTCGAGCACGCGCTCTTCGTGGGCGCCGCGGAGTCCGATCCCTTCGCGGCCATCGCCGGCGCCGTCGCCGCGGCCAAGTCCGCGCTCAAGACGTTCCGGGTCCGCGCCGAGAAGAAGCTCCCGGGCATCGTCGACTACTTCGGCTGGTGCACCTGGGACGCCTTCTACCAGGACGTCACGCAGGAGGGCGTCGAGGCCGGGCTCCGCAGCCTCGTCGCCGGCGGCGCGCCGCCCAAGTTCGTCATAATAGACGACGGCTGGCAGTCCGTAGGGACGGACCAACCCAACCCCGACGACCCAGCAGGAGAGGCCAAGCAGCCGCGCTTGCCTCGGCTCACCGGCATCAGGGAGAACAGCAAGTTCCAGAGCCACGACGACCCGGCCGCGGGCATCAGGACGGTGGTGCGCGCGGCGAAGGAAGAGTACGGCCTCAAGTACGTCTTCGTCTGGCACGCCATCACCGGCTACTGGGGCGGTGTCCGTCCAGGCGCCGCCGGCATGGAGCAGTACGTCTCCAGGATGCAGTTCCCCGAGATCTCGCCGGGCGTTGCCGAGAACGACCCCGGCATGAAGACCGACTGGATCACCGCCCAAGGGGTCGGCCTCATGCACCCGCGCGCCGTGTACCGCTTCTACGACGAGCAGCATGCGTACCTCGCCGCCGCCGGGGTCGACGGCGTCAAGGTGGATGAGCAGTGCATCCTGGAGACGCTCGGCGCCGGCCACGGCGGCCGCGCGCAGCTCACGAGGCAATACCACCAGGCGCTCGACGCCTCCGTCGCCAAGAATTTCCCGGAGAACGGCATCATCGCCTGCATGAGCCACAACACCGACGCCCTCTACTGGTACGCTCCTACCATCGTCCTAACCGTGAAGTTCATAGCGAATCCGTTGACCAATTTGGTTCGACAGCTCGAAGCAGACGGCGGTGGTGAGAGCGTCAGATGACTTCTTCCCGAGGGACCCCGCGTCGCACACGGTGCACATCGCCGCGGTGGCGTACAACAGCGTGTTCCTCGGCGAGTTCATGCTCCCGGACTGGGACATGTTCCACTCCCTCCACCCGGCCGGCGAGTACCATGGCTCGGCCCGTGCGATCAGCGGCGGCCCTGTCTATGTCAGGTCGTGATCAGTTTGCTCACCATACTCCATTCCTATGTTCGGTGGAATTGGCAGCTGAATTGTGTTCTTGGTGATGGATTTGCAGTGACGCCCCCGGCAAGCACGACTTGGAGCTGCTGAAGAAGATCGTCTTGCCGGACGGCTCCGTGCTCCGTGCGCGTCTGCCTGGCAGGCCGACCAAGGACTGCCTGTTCACCGACCCGGCACGTGACGGTGTCAGGTGAGCGCGATCACCCACCGCTGCATTATGGGTCTCTGCCGACAGGTGCAACGCAGACGCGGTTTGCAGCATGCCTGACAACTCCGTGCCATGTCTTGGTTGGTTCCTGCTGCATGCAGCTTGCTCAAGATATGGAACATGAACAAGTTCACCGGCGTCCTCGGCGTGTACAACTGCCAGGGCGCGGCGTGGAGCTTCGCGGAGAAGAAGACCACGTTCCACCCGGCCAGCGTCGACGCCCTGACGTGCGGCGTCAGGGGCAGCGACGTCCACCTCATTTCCGAGGCCGCGACGGACGCCGAATGGAACGGCGACTGCGCCGTGTACCGCCATGCCAGTGGCGACCTCGTCGTCCTCCCGAACGGCGCGGCACTGCCCGTCTCCCTCAAGGTCCTCGAGCAAGACATCCTCACCGTCTCGCCGGTCAAGGTCAGCGCGCCATCCATGTCTCCCATCACTGTTGCCATGTCCAATCTGTTGCTAGTTCCGAACTCAAGAAACTGGCACCTGTAATCAACTAACTCATGACGCATCGCAGGAGTTGGCACCCGGGTTCAGGTTCGCCCCGATCGGGCTCGTCGACATGTTCAACAGCGGCGCGGCGGTGGAAGGCCTGACGTACCACCTGCTCGACGGCGCAAAGCTGCTCGACGACAACGGGTCCACTCCTAGCTCGGATGCCACCGGATTGGTGTGCGTGGAAGTGAGGGGGTGTGGCAGGTTCGGTGCCTACTCCTCTGTCAGGCCAAGGAGATGTTTGCTGGGCTCTGCGCAGCTGGAGTTCACCTATGATTCTTCCTCCGGCATTGTTGTTTTGCAGCTGGAGGCGATGCCCAAGGAGAGGGTTCACAGGATTGTCATTGAGCTGTAGACTTGTACGTGCGTTGTAGCAAGAGGAATTCAGAGTATCAAAACTACGAGTAGAAACTCAGAAGTTGAGTTGAGATTACGCCGGACCTAAGTCGGGTAGCGATAGCATATGCAGAAATGCACAAGCTCTAAGATAAGCGTGGTGTCGTTGATTGGATCAGATTAAGAAATGAAATCGCAGGGCATTTGCACTTCCGCATCCGGTGGTTTACTATTACGAATCTGAATACATGCACACATGCCGAGTGATCACACGAAGCTTAGTCTTATTTTATGCCGTATTCGAAACCAGCGGCGGATCCAGGATTTGAACTCAGGGTATGCCGGCCAAAAATTTTCATATATAATTCGGTAAAATCATTTCTCAATTTGGTAATAATTGTAGAATTAAACGTAATTTGATATACACACACTAAATTACATGATAAGTATGAAACTGAAAGACATAAATTTTAATACAAATAGTTCAAACGTCATATTAACGGTCCCAAATATAAACATAAAAGAGAGTATGTAAGAGAATTATCATACTACTTATCTGACTTTTTAAACTGTTTTATAAGGGATGTGAATGTTTCGATTATATTATCTTTATTCACTTAAAAATGCCTCTTAACATATTCTTAATTTTGCTTTCACTAAATCATCGTACAAAATACCCTATCAATAATTGCCGTTGCCTAGCAATATCAATAGGTGTTATGTTTTTACATAAAATAAAAGAGAAGAGACAAAAGCAGAGATGGAATACCTCGGTAGCTAGCAGTCGAGATCTATGCCTAGCACGTTAGTCGCGCACGCACAGCAGCTGACCAGCAGCAGCGAAGTAGCTGGGGCGGATCCTCAATCTGACCATCTTAATCATGATTAGTGGTGACGTCGTGTCCTCGTAGCCTCGCCTGAGCGCGTGTACGGCTTCGTTGATCGGAGACGGCAGCGATCTGAGACCCAGCGGCATTGGATCGATGGACTCCTACCATAAAGTCTTGTCGTGTGGGGTTCTTCCAAGTGACGTCGTGTGGCCGTAGGCCGGCCCGTAGCTAGTATAGGCGTGTCACTGGGTGAGGTCGTGGGCCTCGAAAGTGAAAAGACCTCACGCCACACTGCGCAACCTCAATTAGTTATTTTGCAAGTTTTTCTGTTTTATTACAAATAAATATACATGTATATATACTCTATACATGCTAGACCAGCGGGGTATGCCAGTGCATACCTGGCATACCCTGTAGATCCGCCCCTGTTCGAAACATGTACTCCCTCCGGTTCTCTAAAGTAAGTCGTTTTGAGGTTGTCTTAAGTCAAACATTTTAAACTTTGACTACAAATAATTTCTTTTGGATTGAGTTTGAAAATATGAAAGTGATGTAAGTAGATTCATCTCGAAATGTAGTTTTATAAAAGTATATATTGACTATATTTTATAAATATTTTATAGCAAAAAGTAGCGGTTAAAGTCGTTTCTTAAAGACCGTGTCGATGTCAAAACGACTTGCTTTAGAGAACCGGAGGGAGTACGGACTAAGTGTAAAATGCCCCAACAGTCCTCGCTAACATGGCAGCACGAACCGACGTCTGAATTTGTGCACCCGAGCAATCAATTTTTTTATGCCGACATGTGCTCCCAGCGATGAGTCGCCTCCTCGTCTCCCCCGACGCGTGCACCCCCGGCCGCTCCTCCAATCGGCAAATTACACTTAGTCCCTAAAGCTGTAATATTGTACCATTTTAATCCATCCACCTCTCACCACCATCCTCACCTCCGCCACACTGCACATGCTCACCTTACCCGCACGTAGCGCTGCATCATGCTCGCCCTGCTACTTCATGCCTGCCTATGTTGCATCATCGGTGCAATGCTACACCCACACTACCACGCTAGGTCATGTCGTGCTCGCCGTGATGCTTATGTCGTGTGCTACACTCACCCTACTGCATTGCAACGATGGCCCTGTTGTTGTGAAGGGAGGTGAGGAAGGCTGAGAAAGGAACTAATTAAGTGTGAGGAGATGGCGAGAATGAGCATGAGTTCCCGCTTGACGTAGAAGAGGAAGGAGCATGGTGGTGTTGAATGCGACTGCCGCGAGGCAGGGGCTGGCACCATGGTGAGGTGGAGGTGGAGCAGAAGCGAGTCGAGCGGAATCGAGGAAGGCCGTAGCGGCGAAGGCTCGGCTAGGATGTGCAGTAGAGCAAGCACAAGGAGGACCAAGCGGCGTAGTAGGTCGTAGGAAACTAGGTATGCATATACCACTTGAGCTCCCACCACACATCTCATCCTCGTTACACCACTGTGGGTGGACAAACACGGTGCAACACAATGTGGCCGCATGAGTGTGGTGGGCACATGCAATGGAGTGTGGAGGAATTGAGTGTGTATTTTGAAAATAGTGGAACTAAAATGAGAATTTATGATAAGTTTAGGCTGTGTTTAGTTGGAGGAATTTGGATTTTGGGGCTACTGTAGCACGTTCGTTTTTATTTAGCAAATAGTGTTCAAACATAGACTAATTAGGCTCAAAACGTTCGTCTCGTAATTTCCCACCAAACTGTGCAATTAGTTTTTCTTTTCGTCTACATTTAATGCTCCATGCACGGACCGCAAATATTCGATGTGATAGATACTGTAGCAAATTTTTAGAAGTTGGGATGAAACTAAACAAGGTCTTAGAAAGCTAAATGCGTAGCTTAAAAGTATTGGGACCTGAATGAGAACTAAAAAAAGTTTAAGGAGTTGAATGTACAATTTGAAAGTATCAAGACCTACGTAAGAACTCAAGACCTACATAAAAACTCAAAACAAGTTTTGAGGACCATAAATAAAATTTATTTACTCTTTAAAAAATAAGTACAAAATCACCATTTCCCTTCAAAACGAGGGCATAAAAGCCAAAGCACCGTAATGTTTTGAAGAAGCTTGATTGATTAGTGCCAAAGCTAAATAAGTAAACATGTTCTCAAAACTACCTAAGCTTTGATTAGAGCATCACTGGACTGACCAGCTTTGTATAGCACACGGATACAAGTTCATTAATATTGTGTAGTTAATTAAGATATCTTATTATTTACGCTGGCTATGAGTTTATTTAATTGCAAAAAAACATTTTCACTATCTGTTTGCATGGCAAAACCTTTTTCCTTTGGTCCTGCTTCTTGATCCGGGTGCAATGAAATATCATATTGCTGTCATTCCCACATAAATAGTGCAATACACTACCTTTTCTTCTTTTGATATTGATATCCTTTCTGAATTCACCTTTGTACTTTCGGCAATGGAGTCTCCAGATCAGGAAAGCAAAGCCGACTCCAACCCTGATAATAATTTATGCAGTCATCGGCACTTCTTGTGCTACTATGCATTGTATGCTAAAAACAAATACTCTGAGGATTCAACTGCTTTTTGTAACATAAGAACAAACACTGCATTGTAGGCTGGCTATTTTGTTGCCGGACCTTACACATAAGATGGCCGACGGTTTAAAAACGATCGGCTATTGTTGGGTTTCTAGTAGTGATTTACGATGTTCTCTGATACTGCATTATCCACTGCATTTAGATCAAGTGGAAACACACACTTTCCATCACTGCTTGAGCTTCCAGCAAGGGTTTCTAGTAGTGATTTACGATGTTCTCTGATACTGCATCATCCACTGCATTTAGATCAAGTGGAAACACGCACTTTCCATCACTGCTTGAGCTTCCAGCCATCGGTTTATTGCTAGTGCCATCATTCACAGAAGAAGCTGAAAGGGAATGCACCTTAGATGATAACCTTCCATTGTAGGCATTCTCGTATAAATCAGAGTTCATAGAAACTACATTATCCAATTTAATTTTCTTATGCTCGGGTACTTCATCGACTTCATCAGCTACTTTGGCCATCTCAAAACCTCTTTTATCTGCACCACCTGATGCATGTGAACGATCCAGTGCACCTGCGCTAACCTCACAGGTATTTACATGGTCTATATCCATGAGGTTGTCTGCATCGTTATGGTCTATATCCATGAGGTTGTCTGCATCGTTAAGGTTGATGGTTGTGCTCACCATGCCAGGTTCTTTAACCAAACAAGTAAAAAAATTACAAAACATGGGTGATAAATAATTAACCCATACTTACTAATATGATTGAGAACAATGTTAGTTACCTTCCGGAAGATGGGTTAAGGAGACAGAACAAGTAACTGGCACCATGTTCACATCAAAATCTCTTTCACTAACATTACCACCGAAGGTGTCCCTCATTCTATCGTCGTGTTCTGGATAATCAAGTTTCTGCATATCCATAACAAAATGTTACATTTAGATACTGATATGCAACATCATCTAAATGATCATGTAAAACAAGGTGACAAAATGCCAGTTGTCAAGCTGGCATCCGAAACTCTCAAGTTGTGTAGGGAAATTTCACATATTGGCAGGTTGGCCATAAGCTGAATCAGTGACTAGGGAATTTTCTAGAAAGCTCATGGTAACATAAACTTTATCTATGGTCAACTTAATGTTTGAGTGCCACGTATGTAACTTACTAAAGGTGTAAGGTAGTGTGGCATGTGTTATTCTATGCTTTTCTCTTGATGCACTAATACGCAGCTCTCCTACATATGTGAGGAAAAAAATGGTAACTTAAACACAACTAATGCAGAGAAAATGTTTAAAAAGCAAGCGCTACACAAAATGAGGAATAAAGATTCACCTGATGTTTTCTTTGCATAGACATGGAAGAGGGACCCATACCACCATTGCTAATTGTTGAAATTGTTTCTGTATCTGAATCTAGGTGATCATCTAGACCTCTTCCACATACAGGCTGATTCAAAAAGTTCTCTCCATTCAAACACACCTCATGACTGGCTTCCAAACTCGGTGCAAAATTAGTTGACTTTACCAAAATTTCGCCAAAACCACTCCTGTTTTGTGAGAATGAATGAGTAGATGACAAAGCAGTCCTACTCCAATCCATGGCCCCGGGGTCATCATTAAAGTTTCGTTCTAGTCTACTTGTGGATACATAAGATGGGAGGTTAGAGGAATCTTTTTTGCCAACTCTGAATAGACCCCATAGAAAGTAGAACATATTCCACCCTGAGACAGAATAAGAATGTGATCAATCAAATTGAAACCTATCATGAGATAATATGACACTTTAACTAGCTGAAGGGTTCTTACTTTGGAAGTTCTTTGACAAGATATTGGAAGGGAATATAAGCAACTCAACAGTACCAACACTTCCTCTGAGAACTAAATCATTCTTCAGCATATTTTCAACTAATTTACTGTAGTGTTTTTCATAGCTGCAAAAGACAGAAGTGTTAGTTTCAAATTTAAAACAACATATGAATGAAACAAATATGAATCAGGGGAAAAACTGCAAACAACACACCTCTGAACATCTCTAGCAAAGAAAAAAAGACCTATGTTGTCATAAGTTGGACCATTTTCCTGAAATTGTGTCGGCCATGAATTCTGCCGAGGAACTTCCTCAAGCTGGACTTTAGAAGGGAATTTCTTAACTACGTCCAACACTAACTGTGCAGCAGAACATGATAAGTGGGCTTGAAAACCATCACACAGCTCCGGTGATCTTCCAATCCTCTGCAGCTCAAAACCACCTCTGTTGAAATAAAAAAAAAGTTTAAAATGCATATAATAAACACATCAAGGAAATATTATAATTGCTAGCAAATAATACAGGCTGAGTGATAATCAGGTCTAAAAAAATGGGATGAACCACAAAGCACACATATAACATCACATAACACAACACACAAAACATGTGAAAGCATTATCTATAAAGTGGTTACATAATTGATGGTAGATTGGCAATGGAATGTCTAGTAACTTATTACTATTAAGTCATTTAAAATGCTAAAGTAAATAATTTCACATATGGGATGGAAAGGAAAGAATACTCATACTGCCATATCCAGTCCAGCTCAGGGACAGTTGAAAACAATGGTTCATCACCAGCTGAAACCCCTTGAGCAGGTTCATCCCTATGATCATTTGGCATAATGCAACCATTATCAGAAGAGATTCCTGGTGTGGCAGATAGAGATGGATGAGTATCTTTGAACTTCAGCTTGCTACAATCTACTCCGCTCCCAGGGATGGATAAAATATATCTCAGATCCTGCTCATTAGCTTGAGTTGATAATGAAGGCTTCTTCACATTCCGACTGCTGCTAGAAGCACCCTGTCTGAAGCCAGTTTGGTCCTTTATTTTAGTATCCTGATGTGAAGAATCTGAATTCTGAATCACTTTTCTATGAGCACCGGAACCAAGAATCCCACATGAGGATCTTTCAGCATTAGATAGCATCGTACTTCCCGGCACTTTTGCTAAAGGAGGCTTCTTTAGCTCACTGTTTCCTGAACAAACAAATTAGAGTTACTCTACAATAAAATGCATGCAATCAGAATATATGAACTATGTCAAATAAGGAAAATAACACGCAAGGGGAAGGGGGTGAAAGGAAATTTACCAAGAGAATTTTTACCACCCTGTACATGAACAGCACCTAAATTATTTGAGTCAGCCGTGTTATTTCTTGTAGAGAGGAGCTGAGCTGTGGTATCAGTTTTTAAAAGAACAGGAGCAACCATTGATGCTGTGGCAGAGGGAGGCCCCAATATTGAAGAGCACTGACCATTTGTTACGTTGTGGCTCACCAACTGATTCGTCACCCTTGGCTCCTCGGCAGGTGGCAAGACGGAAGACTTTGCCTTGTTTGCTGGCTCGCAAGGCTTAGGCTTTTTGAAGGTCGCTGACTTAGTAGTCATGCTGATTGGCCCTTCCTTTTTAATAATAGAAGACCAAGATTCCTTCAAAAATTTTGGCTTCTGAGGAACTTCATTCAATAGCTGTTTCACTTTCGGAACCTTTGAGTTGTTGAAAGAAGTGGATTTGGAAAGTTGGCCTGCATTAAACCTTGCTTAGTATGGTTTCATTTGATTGCATGCCACCAGGGCAAGCCCTAAAAGTACCATAATTTGAACATTAAGGATTTTGTGTACACACAGAGTTTAAATATGAAAAAAATAGATTAACAATTTACCACGAGGCTGTGGTGCCTGATTCTTCAGAGCATTAAACGCCAATGAAGTTGCCACTTGATGGCTAGGTTGCTTTCCTTTGTCAGCATCAAACATGAATATCTCGTGTGATGGTTGCACTCTCTTTCTGGAGTCAGCCCCCGTGTACATGCCACCAGTTTCAGGATTAGTATCTCTAATTGAGGATGTCATCGCAGCATCTTCTTCCGTCCTGGTTTCAACCGTATCATTCCCCTCATTTGTGGTATCTGACTCTTTGTTTTCTACATTCTCAGCCTTCAATTTACAGTCTGAAGAATTTCTGCTCTTTGCAGCAATGGGAGGTTTGTTAATCTCCCCTTCAAAGGACAGCTCTTTCGAAGTGCCAACCTTCACCTGAGATTTCTCTAGTCTATTCTCCTTTTCAGATTCTACCGCAGTTTGGCAGTCTTCGCACAGCCACTCACTATCTGGAACCTCTTCCATCATTACCCGCATGCAATACCTGAAGCAAAGAGATATTAAAACATACTCTTACGCACATGCAATATCTGGGAAGACATAATGGAAACAAGTGCTCAAAAGACCAGTTTTCTCCCTAACAGGAAGTGTATAGACAAAGATAATAAATGTGTAGACTTATTAGTGTTCTGGCACGCTAATTGTGCCATTAGCCTTGCAGTCAGCAATTAAAAACCATAAAACAGTAAATGGGCAACTTTAGCGTATGCAATCCATCAAATGCAACTGAACATTATTACAGAAAAAAGAAAGTAATGCAGTGAAGAAGCCTTACGTGTGCTCTGCGCCGTCATTGCATCTGCTACAGACAGCGAGCTTCTCATCCTCACCAACATCTCCACATATGTCACACACCTTCACCTATGTTTTGAAACAGGTTACACAGTTCAGGCGATTCAAAACTAGGGCATTATCCAATCAAAGAAGAAAAAGGCAACCCAATCGAAATACAATCAATTGAGGTCGATCAAACCATAAAAAAAACAGAAATTTAAGGTTCTCACTCACGTCTTCAACTTCTTCTGAACTTTTATCATTAGATGAAGTTGTATCCACTTGTGCATCGGATACCTGCTGGATATAAACTGTGGTTAATACAAACTGAGGGTTCAATTTTCGATGCATCATATGTTCACATAAATGCAAATAAATCACTTCAAGATGCATATTAACTTCTCAACAATAAAGATTGGCATTCTTCATACAGGCAATATATGTAATCATAGATAAAACGAAAAACACCAGAACAAAGAGCAAGAAACTCACATCATCCCTGATCTCTTGAGAGCTTCTTTCATTATCAATATCCTTGTACACAGCAGCCACTTGCACATGAGACCCATATTCATTTGCACCTTCCTGTTCCAAATGAGATGCACCTAGCTTGCTGCTTGTTGAGCTTCTAGAAACCTTCTTTGTGCTTTGAGAGCTAGCTTTTTGGAGCATGTCTTTAGAGTTTGTTGAATGGTCCTGTTCTTCTGAAGCTGAGGATGGACCTTCCTGTTCCTCAATGTGTGCACTAGGCTGACTTTTGCCAACCTGTCCATCTGTATCATCGCTGTCACTGTCAACAGCACCATCACTTTCAATCGCCTTATCCACCCTTTTATCACGCAATCTTTTAGCAGATGGAGGTGCTCTTCTCCCCCTTTTCTTTCTTACGGCCACATTAGATGTGTCTTTAACTTCAGAGATCCATGAAGCAACATTACTGCAACGACCTGAGCTACGTGGCGCCCTGTCTGTATTCCTTACTGAACATATATAAGCATTAATGACATTGTGTATTCTGGTTGTGAAGTGATATAAATGCCTAAGATGCAATTAGATGAGAAGGGGAGATAACATACATCGCATGTCCTTTATTCAGGTTTATGAAGAAAGTTCTGGCTCTGATTGCCCTTCCTTTCCAGTGAGGAAAATTGCCTTTGATTTTCAACGCATTAAACAATAGGTAAATAAGTTTCTAACAAGTAATAAACATGGAAAGAACAGAAATAGGAAAAGAAAAACTTGGCAGTCCGTACACAAACACGTAAACATATACACAGAAAGTTAGGTGCAATAAATTAGTACTCCCTCTGTCCCAAAGAGAATGACATTCTAGTTTTGTACTAGATCAAACTATCTCAGGTTGGACAATTTATATAAAACAATGTCAATATTTGTATCACTAAACAAGCGTCTTTAGGAAACTAGAGTTATGGCGGTAGACCCTTGAGTCTAAAGGTTTTGGATTGAGCAGAACTAAAATCGAATACATGAGATGCGACTTTGGCGGAGTTGTACACGAGGAGGGAGACGTGAGTTTGGAAGGTCAAGTAGTGCCTAAGAAGGATACCTTTCGGTATCAGAGGGATAGAGATATTGATGCGGACGTTAGCCATAGAATCAAAGCAGGGTGGTCAAGTGGGGACAAGCTTCTGGCATTCTCTGTGACAAGAGGGTACCACAAAAGCTAAAAGGACATAGCCAAGTGACATATGGCATAACACATAATTTAAGTTCACAACATGATAAGGTCACATCCACAGGTCCACAATTATACATAATTGAGTTCACATGCATAGTAATAGTACATAAGAGAACAAAATTTCAGATCAAAGCACATGAATACATAATGAACAAAACTATTGAACACATGGGCAGTCGGGCACCGGACGTGGTTAGAGTGAGACAGAGCATAGGGAAGACCGGAGGAGACGAGGATCGAGGAACTGACTAGACTGAATCCTGCTGGGATGGAGAAACCAGGCCGATTCGACGGTGAGCGGCCCAGGGATGCTTGGAGCAGGGGCACAGAGCTTCTTCTGTAAGGGGAAGGGCCGCCGGGAGCAGGGAGGGGACGCCGCCGGACTACGTCGTCGCTGGCCGGCCGATTCGACGGTAAGCCGCCCAGGCCAGGGATGCTCCGAGCAGGGGCGCAGAGGTGCAGCAATAGGGCACCAGGAGCTGGGAGGGTCGCCGCCGGCCGCTCGCTGTCCCGCCACCGGCCGCCGTTCGCCACTCGCGTCGGGGCGTCGAGCGCACCTGCGGAAGGGGAATGGGAGATTTAACTTTTTACTATTATAGGGAGCACTTATTCATATACGATATACAATACAATTTTACGAACAGAGAAAAGTCGTACGAAAATACCATATCTCACGTGGCACGCCAGCGCCGCGTTCTAGATGGGATTCGAGTCAGCAGGGTATGGCAAACAGACTTTTCGGCGTAATGCTGTTATTATAAATAGATCGTAATTACATGTGTCTCAGCAAAAATTCATGATCTTGGCGTCACTACTCTCAATTTTTTGGTTATCCATGCACTTCCGTCGATTCGGGCCTCGAGCAAATCAAAGCTGCGTGTATGAAAAAAGCGAAAATACCCTTAAGTTCAAATATGTTATTAATTTTTTGAGCATCTTAACGACTTCAAATGAAAAAACTCAAAACTAAAAAGTTGTAGATCTCGTCGAGATCTATAATTTTCATATAAAAATTATTTTCATTTAATTCCGTAAAAAAAATATGATTTGATATGATTAATATATCTTAGAAAAATCATCATTTTTTTTGCGAAATTAAATAAAAATAAATTTTATATGAAAATTATAGATCTCGACGAGATCTACAACTTTCTAGTTTTGAGTTTTTTCATTTGAAGTCGTTAAGATGCTCAAAAAAAATTAATAACATATTTCAACTTAAGGGCATTTTCGTCTTTTCACACCTGCAATTTGACGGCGTTAGAGCCTAAACTGACGGAAGTGGCATGGAGGACCCGAAAAAGTTAGAGTAGTGACGCTGAAAACCCCTGAATTTTTCCAGAGGCACACAAGAAATTACGATCTTTTATAATGGCACACAGGGAAAAGTCTCTATGGCAAATGACCACGGCTGCCCCTGCGCCATCACGAAGAGCCGCGACGGCGGCGCGTCCTCGCCGTCCAGTTCCCGCACCTCTCGGTCTCGAAGGTACTCCCCGTGCAGCGACACGTCGCACTCGTCCATGGTCACCACGCCCGCCGCCGCCGCGCAAGCCTCCTCCTCCTCCCGCGTGGGCTCGCAGCTCGTCGTGCATGTTCGCCGGGGACAGGGCGGCCGCCACCATGGCCACCAGACTCTGTTCCCCGTCCCCGCGCGGATTCGCGCGCAATCTTCGGGACCGCGAGGTGCGCGGCCGTGGTGGGCGACCTCGGACAGCAGCTGACGCGACGAGGCCGTCGAGGTCGGCGGCGAACTGGACGCTAACGATGAAGCCGTAGACGAGGAGTTCGACGGAGACGTGCATCAGCAGCACCTCCTGCTGTGCCAATGGCACCTTCTTCGTCCGTGCCGTCCGTGGTGCCGTCCATCCCGGCGACGTCTTCCTCCGTCGCCTCGTCCTCGCCGGCGCTGACCACGCCGGAGTCGCTTGGCATGGTCCGCAGGGGGTTGCTTGAGCCCTGGCGCGGTCGCCGAGGGACAGCGACGGGCACGGGACGCACACGTCGAGGGACAGCGACGGGCATGGAGCTGCTCGGGTACGCTGCTCGACAAAGGTGTGCTGGGTCAGCGCGGGTGCTTCAGCTCCGACATCCTCAAGGCCATATGGAGGTCGCGGTGACGGACGGCGTGGACGTGCTCTCCCTCTCCCTCGGCAGCGGCACGACGGAGTATTACCGCGACAGCATCGCGGTGGCTGCTCACGTCATGCTCGTTGCTCGGCAACGGCAAGAACTACATTGGCGCGTCCCTGTACAGAGGCAAGCCATTGCCCAACACGAGGGTGCCTTTTATCTACGCAGGGAACGCGTCGAACAGGAACAACAACATGGGCTAGCTCTGCATGTTCGGCAGCCTCATCCCTGAGAAGGTGGCCGGCAAGATCGTGCTCTGCGACCGTGGCACCAACGTCAGGCTCCCGCTTCTACAGCTTTGAGACGCCCAGGCTGAAGGTCTCCAGGGCGTGCACCGCGGCAAAGTGTCCCGCTTATGCAGCTTGGAGATGCCGGACATGTACAGGAGCGTGTACGCGGCGAGGCGTGGGTAGGGAACGCCCGCCGCGGTCGTGCGAAGTTCTTGAGCACCTGGGCTGGCGAGTCGTGCTGCTGCTGCGTGTGCATGTGCGTGGGCTAGTGGTCTACTCGTCCGACGTAGAGGAGATCGCGTGCTGACGTGGGGGAGTGCGCGTTCCTGGAGCACGCGGGCAGCAGTGTACCGTGCACCGGCTGCTCGGGCTAGTGCGGCAGTGTGAGCTACAGCCCGACGGCGTCACCGCGATCACTGCACTGCGCCGCCACCCGTCTTCCCTGACCGCCGCTGCCCTAGCACAGACACCGACTCTATGGCGGACGTGAGCGGATCCTCCTCCACTGCGGTGTCAGGTTTAACACGTCCATCTTCTACCCTCTCTCTTTCTCTCGTTCTACCTATTGTTACTGCACTAGTAAATGATCTAGGATTCATGATTCTATTCAACAGCAAGTCCCTGGCTAGATCTATGCTCCTAGTGATTCTATATGTTTTCTCCAAACAAGAGCGCGCGGTGCTGGCTCTGAGGGTGTTCGACGAAATGCGTGTCGCGTGGTGGAGAGGAAGAGGATGGAGAAGGAGAGAGCAGGGGCAGGAGAGACATTTCCCATGTCCTGTTGACTTGGATCCGTGAGGGGTTGGCGTGCCACATGAATAAAAATGGTATTTTTGTATCTGTTTTCGCTCTCTGCTGGCAAAGTTGTATTGTCATTCGTTAGAGTGCCATACGAGGAGGTGCCCACCACTATAATGGTGAAAAGTTAAATCTCCCAAGGGGAATAGGTCACGCGTGGGAGGTAAAGTTGAGCTGCTTTTCTTTCATGGGCCGTATCCAAGGTCGGCCCAAACGTGTCTGATGCCCGTATCCAGAATTCGTAGTACGGCTTGAGGCCGTGTTTGATAGAGAGTGATGGAAGGCCCGGAACCGTGAAGAGCCCAAGCCTAGTGCTGCACATTTGCTCTCTTATCGGCCCAATCTCGACAGCCCATCAGGGGGGAGGCCAAGTCGTCTTCTTGAGAAAGCCAGCGCGACTCCTCGCCTTCCCCGTATTCTACTCTTCCGGTCTTTGGGTCTCCCGCAATTCTGCAGCGGCTGGTCCCGTGCAAAACCCTACAGCGCCGGCAAGAGAGAAGGGCTAGGTATCCCATGGCGCGCACCAGGTGTGGCTGCAGCTGCGAGCTGTTGCAATCTGGCACCTCCATCATCACCGATCTCAAGATCGACGGCTACTCACTCACCAAGGGTACACCCACCGGAGATTACCTCGAGTCTGATACTTTGACCGTCGGTGGCCATAGTTGGCGCATCCGCTTCTTCCCCAATGGAGCCAAATCGGAGGATGAGGGTTTCATCTCCGTTTTCCTTCACCTCGATGGGAGAGTCGCCGATATGGTGAAGGCGCAATTCCAGTTCGATTTTGTCGATAACATGGAGGAGGAACCGGTGACAGCAGCCACCTTTACCGACAAGGTGTCCTGGGGATACCCACAGTTCATCAGAAGGGAAGAGCTTGAGAAATCGGAGCACCTCAAAAATGACTCTTTCACACTCCGCTGCAAGATTGCTGTTATCCATGAGTTCGGCGCCAAATTAGAGCGGCCGAAGTTAGAGACGGCCGTGAGAGCCCCTCCAACTCCAATGTAGGGCCGTCTCCCTGCCCCCATCTGACCTGCACCGGAATCTTGGCGACCTCCTCCTGAGCGAGAAGGGCGCCGATGTGGTCTTCGATGTTGGTGGCCAGACGTTCGCGGCACACCGGTGCGTGCTCGCGGCTCGGTCACCAGTCTTCAGCGCAGAGGAGCTCCTTGGCACAATGAAGGAGAGCAGCACGACAGGCATTGTCCGTGTAGACGACATGGAGGCTCAGGTGTTCAAGGCTCTGCTCTACTTTGTGTACACTGACTCATTGCCCAAGACAGAGGAGAGAGGACAAGGAGAAGAAGCTGAAGAGGAGGACGACAGCATCATGTCCCAGCACCTGCTCGTTGCAGCTGATAGATACAACTTGGGGAGGCCGAAGTTGATCTGTGAACACAAACTGTTCGGGTACATTGAGGTGGGCACAGCAGCCACCATACTGACGCTAGCTGAGCAACACAACTGCCACGGGCAGCCACCATACTGACGCTAGCTGAGCAACACAACTGCCACTGGCTGACGAAGGCATGCTTCGATTTTCTCAGCGTTCCTGTGAATCTGAGGACAGCCGTGCCCACCGATGGCTTCAAGCATCTAAGCAGAAGCTGCCCAGCTGTCATGGTGGAGTTGATTGCTATGCTTGCCACCTGAAAACAGTGACCATCATTGTTTCGGAATTGTTATTACCTGAGTTTTTAGTAGCCTAGCCATTACTTTATATGACATTATGAGTACTGGAAGATGCAAAATTACCATGTTCAGGTGCCGTTTGCTGGTCTGGTTCAGACCAGCCAGCCGGCTCAATGTTTTTCTTTCACAACAAACTAGCCGGAACAGTGTTGTTCAACCAGTTTCAGACCAGCGAACGGGGCCCTGTCATCTCGGTTTTGTCAGGTCATTACACATCCCTGTAGCCCAGGTTAATCTGGAATGTCTTTGTTATCATCTAGCTCCGCCCATTAGGTCCACAGTACCTCGGCGACGCGGCAGGGGTGGTGTCTCGGCGGCCGTCTTGTTTTCTTTTCTCTACGGGGCGGATCGGATGCTGCGACAGACAAAAATGTTTTATTTCTACAGTCAATGGTGTAGTAGTAGTTTTAAAAACTGCACCTAAAATTCATTTTTCTGTGTGGGGGTGATGATAGTTTGTTGACGGAATGTGTTGCTGCTGATTTGCCATGTTGATATACCACGAGGTATAAACGACTGAGCTAAAGACACTACAGCTTCACGGTGACTTAAGAAAAAAGAAGAAGATTGGCCGTGCAAAGTGCAAACATGTTGATGAATCCGTTGAATGCGCTTGTTAGACTGTCTTCGACAAGAAACTCATATGGGCATCCAAACCTAAAATGGATAGCAAGAGATTCAAAATCAGCCTCCAACAGAGTACCTATACGGGAGACCTATTTTGGGTTGCCTGAGAGGCACAATCCAAATATGGGCATCCTCTCTCTTGAAAACCATTTACAGAAATGATTCTCTTTTGGGTCTTGTTGTTGGAGGAGATGCCGAATAAGTATTGGACTTTTTGCCTGTAGCGCTACCCAAAGGACGAATGTGTCTTGTATTTTGGGTTTTGTTGTTGGAGATAGCCTTACGTCTTGAATCCACTTCCTCTACGCGTTGGCATACTCCGAGGTCTTCACTTCACGTAACCAGACACAACGCTTTTCTTTCCCGCGAGGGAATTGCTGGTAGCTGGACGTCCGATGAGATATGATTTCATTGGACGGTCCCGAATGGTCCATCAAAAACGCGCCGCACTCCTACTGTATCGCTGCAGTCCTTCCCCGTCTGCCTCGTCCCGCCCCGCACGTGTACCCCCCCCCTCATCCGCCCCGCGCCCGCCGCTCCTTCCCTTGAACCCCTCCTCTCTCTCCACGCGGGCGAGACCCGGGAGCTGGGATGAGGACGAGCACACCCCGCCCACTGGACCCTTGGCACACCGTGCGCCCCTTCCCACGGCACCTGAGCCGTGCCCCAATGACTATTTGAATATACCTTTGAAACAAGAAACACTTGCAACATAAAACACTTGAATGCAATATACGTCTGAAGCAGATGAAACATTTGTAACATACACTTGCAACATGTTGGTGAACACATATGCAATATCCAGATAAAACACTTGCAACTTGTAACATGAAAACACTTATTGCAATATAAGACTGAAACAACTGAAACATTTCGAACATACTCTTGCAACATATGTGTGAAACATATGCGACATCTAGATTAAAAATGCTGCAACATACGTCTAAAACAGATGAAACATTTTGAACAAACGCTTGCCACATGCCTCTGAAAAACTTGTAACATGCCTTTGGAACATTTTGCAACGTATGCAACATCCCGATCTACTTTTGCAACATCCATATGAAACACTTTCAACATGCCTTTGGGACATTTGAAATACTTGAAACATATGCTTGCAACATGTTAGGTGCGACACTCTAGTGGGAGGCGGCCACCATGTTAGGCGCGTTGAGGAACTCGATAACCGCATCGATGGGCAGATAGGGGCTGGGAGGTGGTGGAGCGAAGAGCACTACGGGCTTGGCTACCACGAGTTTCTTTCGTTGGGGGCACCGGGGCGTGTGGAGCCTCGATGCGAGCGCGAAGTATGGCACGGCCGCGACGTCACGGTCTCCAGCCGTAGGAGGAGGTGACGAGGAGGGCGCCGACACCGGCTCCAGCGACGAGGGGCAGGGCGGGCGCTGGGCGCGACTCCAGCGGCGCAGCCTGGCCTCGCGGAGGAGAGCGAGGGCCCCGAGGTGGAGGTGGTCGCGGTAGGAAACGCCACGATGGCTGTGCTAGTTGGGAATATCCCCGTCTTTTTTTTAAGAGAAACGGCAGACCTATTGGGCTGCAGCGGACAGGCCCAGAAAACGCGGTGTGCGGACTGTCGGACGCCGCACTGTAGCATTTCCGTACCTGAAGACAAATCAAACCGTCATGTCATGTCTCAGTTGCCCCACTCCCGAAACGCCCGGCGCGCGCGAACGCCGTCACTTCCCCTTCGCGCCAAAAACAAAACCCTAGGTCTCCACCTTCATGGAGCCGCCGCCGGTGGACCGGCAGGTGGCGGAGATTGCCGCGGAGCCCGACCGCGCCGCCGCGTACGCGCGGTTGCTCCTTCTGCAGCGCGGCTGCGCCGACGACCCCTCCGCCGCTGCCGACCTCGCCGCGGAGTTGCCTTCCACCCTCCTCCCGCTCCTCCTCCGCGACGCGGCCGCCGATGACGAGGCCGTCGCCGCTTCTGCGCTCAAGTGCCTCGGCTTCGCGCTCTACCACCCCGTCATCGTCTCCACCATTTCAGGTACTACTAGTCTAACTACTAGTGGTTCTCTTTGCTCGCATTTCTTCAGTTAAATATCCCAGTGTTGATTGAACTTGAACGAGATCTAGATTAGTGAATCAATTTGGTTTTGCATTGCTAATGAGAAAGAATTGGGCCTGGTGGGATTTAACCTCTTCTGTTAATAATATTACTCCAACCGTATGCTGTAAGATCAAAACTTAAACCTTTTGCACTCGTTTGAATCTGAGCTCCACCAGCATGTTTGACATTTGTAGCTCAAAGTTTTTGTTTTACTTTCTACTGTTGTCTGGCAATTAATCTGAGATCCTTCCAATTTGGAATGTTATTTGTACTGTTTTCGACTATTATCACTTTTACTACCAATCTCTTTAATCCCTTGGGTTCATCCTTCTGAAAATCTAACTTGACACGGTCCTCCTAGTTTTTTATACATGACATGCTGTCGACATTGTTTTAAATAACACAGCTAAAAATATATTTTCTTATTTTACAGCACAGATGGCCCAATTGGTATTGGATACCTTGGTACAGATAATCATGAATACTCGGATGAAGGTTGATCCGGCTGACCATTTTTTCCTTTTCAAGAGCCTAAGATGCTAAATTTTGCGTGCAGAATGCGTATTTGATCTTTTTAGTATTTGATTCCCATTTTCTCCTGTTAATTCTTTTACTACAGTCATCTTGTAATTTGGGTGTCTGGTGCTTCTCGGTCCAACAATTGGAGCCATTGATTATAGAGGATAGAGCAGATCCAATGCTTATTGCTATTGTTCATGCCCTCGACAATCCGTTTGGTTCCTTGTCCACAACATTTGAGGCAGCTCAGGTTGTTCTGCACACCTAAACTATGTTGCATTTCATTGCTTTTTTCTGTGCTTTTTAGGAATTTCAATGTACAGGCTGCAGCCGAATTGTTCATGTAACTACAGCCTACTTGCTTAGTGGTGTTCATTACAAAATAACCATATGCTTTCACAATACTTCTAATTCACAGGAATTTGCCTCAAATCATGCAAAACTCTTATTAGCATACTTTGCTCCTTTTTTCTCTTCCTTTATCATCTATCATATTATAATGTAACTTGGAATAGTGCTTTTTAAAAACTTCTGCTCTGTAGGCTATCATGATTTTTTTCTCTCTCCCTTTATCATCTATCATTATTATGTAACTTGGAATAGTGCTTTTAAAAACTTCTGCTGTAGGCTATCTTGAAGCTTGCTGACCAAAGTCCCAAAAGAATGAGGGACCAATCATGCTTGTGGGTTCCACCAGTGTACCGAAGACTCTTAAGTGCTGACAAGACAGAAAGGGACATGGCAGAAAGATGCCTTATTAAGGTGTCATGTCTTATTCTACCACCTCAGCCTCTTCTTTCCAAGGTAATTAAAAGATCACTGTTAATTACTAGAAGATATAATTAGATGTTGCTTTAGCACTATTAGAAGCAACTCATATGAATATTTCTGTTAATTCATTAAAAACTGTGAAGCTGTTGCTCGCAAATTCATGCCACATATGCACATTGTGGTGTATTATTTGTTTTTCTAAATGGACTATCTTCTGATAGAGCATTTTAATCCAACTTAACTATCTGGGTGCATTATAACGGTGCACCCAAAGGTTCAAGTAGATTGGGTGACTTATTATGATAAATCTTGAGGGTAGCTTCATGTGGACAAGCAATGATTCAATACATTTTTTTGTGGCTGGAATAGGTAATTTAGCTGAATTGCATTAGTTTTACGTATTGGTGACATATGGATGTACTCCTTGTCACACAACAGTAACTGCAGTGTGAGCTTTTGTTGAAGTGAGTAGCATATCAGCAAACTAATTCTCAACCAATAGTATAGCATTATTAAAACACTTGAAATCAAATCTGAAATGATAGGTCTAGAGGCTTCATAACACTTCCTGGCTTCCTGCTACTATTGAGGATGTCCTGCAGTTCTATTACTTTCAGTTCAGGTTACAGAATCCATGTACCAGCAAAAACTGGAAACTATCAATTCTTTCTGTGACATGCAGGAGAGCTGCATGTCATTGTATTAATAGGTAGAAAAGTATGGTCACAAGAACATGCTGATTCCACTGCTGGGGTTAGTTTTTTATGACACACGTGCCCTAGAAGCAAGGAAAACACCCTCCACAACAATATTGTGTCCGGGTCTATGTACGACTCTTTCTTCTCCTTTTAATGAAATGATACGCAGCTCTCCTGCGTGTTCGAGAAAAAACACCCTCCACAACAACTATACTCATTGAAGCAACTCGGCCAGTGCCTTTGCTCCTGCCAGGATCCACAAATGGCCCTGGTCAGCGGCTTCCTGGAGCACAACTTGGATGCTTGGTTGCTCCCTGTTGAATTATTAATAGATTAATATAGGCAAACGTGCACGTGATGCAGGTTTTTGGTTATACCAATTTTTGTGTTGCTTTTGATATCTAAATCTTTTTCTGTGTGTGTTTACTCTTTCCTGGAGTTGGCTTATTAAATGGTTCAGTGTTTCTCCTGCAGCTTTGCATATTTTCCGCATATTTTACTTGCTGTGGTGATCTTTCCTATCCTCAATGAGCTTATCCATCAATTGTTTCCCAATTTATTTTGATGCTTGCTGTATAGGCTGTTGCTTCAGACCTTGAGCAGAAGTTACTCTCCTGCATGGTAAATATGCTTGATGATCCTTCGAAGAAAGTTCAAACTGTGAAGTCATGGGGATGGATCATATCTTTGCTTGGTCCAGATGCAGTGAACAATAGACCGCTGCTTAATAAACTCCTAAAGGTTCCGGAGCAGATGTTTACTGATTTAAACCCACAAGTTCTGGTTGCTACAATGGTGAGTTAAACTATTTATCCTTTTTCCAGACTACAATTTCTTTTCAAGTATTATGAATGTCTCTATTACATTATGATAATCTTTACATATTTACAGGTTTCCTGGAAAAAATTGGTGGATGCATTTTTTCCTTCTCAGGCAACCGAGATTGTGGTCCAACAAACTGTGATTCCCCCATTAAAACCCATTGAACAGGCAAGTGCGCAGGTGAAAAGGATAAGATTAATTATGGTGCCTTTATGTCGAGTTCTATCAAGAAGTCGCAATATTGTACTTAGCTCTTCTTGTTTGAATACATGGCATTACCTTCTACATAGACTTGGTAATCTGATCAATCATTTACCCATTCTGAAGGCTGCTTTTGGGCCAATACTCAAAATAGTTTTCTCTTTTGGGATCAATGATCAGAACAAGCTGCTATGGTCATTTTGCTTGAATCTTTTTCATGATTTTGTTTCATCCAAAAATAGGGACAGAGAGGATTTGTGTCCTCCAGTGAATCAGAACTTGCTAGCTCAATCGTGCATGCATATCAAGGCCTTATTGGATGTTCAACATATCAAATGGTTACCATGGGATATTAGTTGCTTTCATTTCCAGCTCGATATTCTTGGCATAATTCTTAAGCCAGAACTATTCCAGGACATGATTCCTGAAACACTGGTGATTGTTATGGATTCTGCAACAGAGATTTTCAGATTTCTTCTTCAAGGTATTCAAATCGAACTTAGAGAGCAGCATGCTTATGAACAAGTCAGCCAATGCATTACTAATGTGTGCACGTTTGCAAAGAAGTTGTTGCTGGATCATATAGGAAAGAATAGTGTTAACAAGCGTGCAACATTACTGGAATTTGGTCTTCGGTTTGTGAAAGTTATTGTGGACGAACTAGATCATTCTCTGTTAGCTTCTGAAGACATTGAGGTATGCCTAGACATCGAGCACATAAAGGAGAACCAACATGCAGAATACAGTCCAAAGGTGTCTTTACCAAGAATCAGATCACTCTCTTACATGGAGATGGTTTCTCCAGCAGTTTATGTGGCTGCACTGTCTCTGTCCATGATATCTCAGTATACTGGAGAGCTGTCTCGTAGAGATGCAGAGAAGTTGGTTTTAATTCTGGCTTCATCATCCAATGTCCTGGAGAGTTTTCGTATTGCTGTCTCTTTTATGTATATGCAGATCGGGCGGCCGACATGTAATAGGGAAAGATTAAAATGGTTGATGGTTTGGAACTCGTTTGCAAAACAATTGAACAGTCAAATTATCTCTTATTTGGAAACCAATTCTGGATTAAGTTACCATGATGTTCTCCATCAGTTCTTCTGTTATCCAATCCTTTATTTTTTATACCCCAAGGGGATATCCATTCTTTTGAATGCTGAAAACAGCTCCGAGTCAAATGTTTCTGTCCTGCAAGACCTGGAGATGGAATCAACAATTGGAGTTTATAGATCCCTCTCTACAAACTCCTGTAATTCGAAGTTTTCTTCCAAGGTTTTCTTTGATGGTTTTTACCAATACTTGGTTTGCACTATTGACGAAAACATGGCATTGTTCCAAGCCAACCTTGAGCATTTGTCGGAGAAGTTCGAAAATGCTACTATCCTTTCTGCTCTTGGTGAAATAGTTATTGGACTGTTACAGAATGATCAAATGTTGACCACTGCTAACCAAGAGTTGAAGGAAACAAGTGAAGATTCTTTTGTGTGCAGACAACCTAAACTTTTCTTGAATTGGTTCAAGCTTGCTAATAGGTTTGTTGACTTACACTTCTAAATGGAACACCTGTATCTATCCTGCCTACCATGAGGATGACCTCAGTCTGTTTCAGTAATCTATAAGCTTTTTATGATTTGCAGGTTTATGAGGTTGTCAAGTTTTCATTTCAAAGCAAATCCAGCTGGACAGCACCAGGTCACAAGCAGGTATTTAAGCAGATTTACAAAATTATAAACTTGTCTGTTGATTTTAATGGAAGTAAGCTGCTATTAGTTGTGTGCTTGAGTTTACATCTCAGTTCTTGTAACTTGGTTGTGCTTCAGGTTTTTTTCAACTTTATCTAATTTTGCTGGGCATATCGTACTAAAGGAACACGTTCTTCTTCTTTTCGAGGTTTGTGGCATATTCACAGTACAAAGTAAAAATATAGCTGTTCATGTTGCTAAGGGCATCAACTTCATTTAGTCCTACTCTTTCTAGAATTCAGGCACATGACACAAAGCACATACTTTATGCTAACTGCACGAAGACACCATTTTGTCCTTGCAGATTATTGGAGACCAACTTACGGAGTGGCTCTCTTTAACCACCATATTGTACTCTGAAACGCAACAAGGAGAAATTATTGTTCATCTTGAGAACCTTTGGCTCAAGATGGTTGAGTGCCTGAAGAGGAGTCAGCTAGTCAGTGATGTTCCCTTAATAAATCAGAAGCAGCGACTTCTTCAAGTTGCACTCAATCACCCACATCACCCCATTTCAGATGCAACAGCATCAGTTTGCAGAGCAGCAACACATGTCAACACAATACTTCACCCTGGCTGCTTAATTTCCGAATTTGATGAGTTATTAATGCATAGAAGAAAGGATCTTGATAGTTCCAGGAAAACAGTCATCACATCCAATTCTACTGAGCTCATGGCTGAGAGAGATGGTGGATCTGTGAATGTCTCGGTGGGTTTGGGGAGGAAGAGGCTGAAGATCATGAAGTATTCAACTAAACCAAAGGAATTTAACAAAAGTACAGCCCACATGGGCTTCTCACCACGTAATATGGAAAACAGAGTGTGTAGGAAACCAGAATTAATTTTGGAGATGCTACAGAGAAAGACATAGTTGTTTGTACTCAATGTTAATGGTTTAAAGAACTTAAATGTGTAGATAGTTTTAATGCATGACATGTGTATATCAAGAGGAAAATCAATGCAATGATCCCCTGAAAAAAGAGAGATTTAAATCCAATCAAAACTATTGTGAACTGCACCTACAGGGCCTACAAGCATTGTCATTCCTTACCCAGTCACATTGTCCGATTACAATGAGATGGAAACAATAGGATGTCATCATGTATAGTTCTACCTCTAGTAACTGATGATTTGGGCTGGCTGCATCCCATATTTTTGTGTTTTGGTCTCTTCTGAGCAGGATCTCTGTCGGGTTCATAAACCCGGGGTCCCCAATGGACCTGCTTCCCTGCAAAACCCGGCCCAGCAGGCGGCGCAGTGACAACGCGCGCCTAGGCCGGCCCAGATATATAATGACAAGCCGGGACAACGATCCGGTCCGCGATCGGAAGGCCTGGCCAAGGTGGGACCGTAGTCCGGCTCCGACCTCCTTCTCCGACCGAGGATACGTCAGATCTCTGCTCGCTGCTCTTTTCCGACCGACACGGTCGGGACCGACTGAGAACGATTGACTGGGGACGCCCGCTCGGTGAGGGCCCGGGGATCAGGAGTAGATAAGGTAAGGCGCTCAAGTCAACCACAATACCGAGGACTGTACCCTGTCATGCCCTACGCACCTGCAGAACGGTGCCATCAGGCCATGCCAGACAGACACTATACAACCTTCCAGACGCGTCAGAGCACAAACAATATTGTTGGCGCCGATAATCGTCTCGTACCCGACAGCGTGGGTAACAAGACTAGGTAGCACACGTATTGTCGGGTTCATAGACTCGGGGTCCCTCAGGGACCGGCTTCCACGCCAGGGCTTGGCCCAAACAGGCAGCACACAACTCGTGGGCCGGCCCAAGAGTCTAAAACAACAGACCGGAAGGGTGGTCCAGTCACCGACCGGAAGGTCTGGACGAAGAGGAACGGCGCCCGCTCGTCAACTACTTCGGCCCACCTCTCCGACTAGAGCGCTCGCTTCAGACTCCAGCCGCCTCCAGACGGCCTCTCCGATCGGAAGGCCTGGCCCAAAGCGCTACTTCCGACTCCGACCCCGCGTCGCCGACCGGGGGGCACAGAAACCCTGCTCACCGCTCTTCTCCGACTGGCGTGGCCAGAACCGACTGGGGCCATCCGACCGGGGACGCCCGCTCAGAAGGAGCTAGGGGAGAACGGAGAAAGCAAGCCAGGGAGCGTAAGTCAAACCACGATACCAGGGACCATACCCTGTACACCTGCAGGAACAGTACTCTGCAAACACCCTGACACAAACAGTATTGTAGGCGCTGACATTTTCCTCTACAGTATTGTAGGCGCTGTTAAAAACTCCCGTACGGTAAGGCCCCCACGTGCCTCCGAGTACCACTAGTGTTGTGGGCGCCGGGATTTACCGTATGGGGTGAACGTGGTGACACTCCTCACATGCCTCTAGGCATCAAACAGTATCTATAGGTACCGACGTCTACCATTCCTGAAGAAGGCAAACACAACCTCCCACATGCATCTGACATTCTATAGTAACATCAACAGTGTTGTAGGCGCCTACCATTATCTTGTACCCGCCGACATGGGCAACAAAGCTCAGTAGCATACGTACCCTCACTTGTAAAGCCATCCCCTTTATCTATAAAAGGGGATGCGCTCCCTCCAAGAAAGGAGAGGCTTTTCTCTCTCTAAGGCCCCCTTTGAAGAGCATTTCTCAGATTCATTAGGTCAACCAAGTTCTCTAGTCCACAACCACAGAACCACCAGGTTCGGACCTCAAGCACACGCTTGAACACTTAGCTCATAACGTAGCTCCAGTCGCTCTCGGCCCTTCTGACCGGAGCCGACCGGACCTCTTGTACATCCCATCTTTCTCCTTCTCGTTTGTAACCCCACTGCAGACTTCGAGCACCTGGGCTAAGGAATAAAGTCACTGACCGACCCAAACTGGACGTAGGGCACGTTGCCTAAATCAGTATAAACCCTGTGTCATTGAGTGCTAGGCCACATCCGATCACAACGTACGACAAAACTACAAATATTTACTAGTTGGTCACATTCTGCACCGACAGTTGGCACCGTCCGTGGGGAAGACACTGTACGTTCAACACTTTTTGGTCATCGGATGGCCCACTTTCCTGCCACCCTCGCCGTGGCGGGCTCGGGGCGATACGATTCGCTTTGGCTCGCTGGAGTTTCCCGCACTCTCACCGGCTGGGATGCGGGTCCCGCCCGTCTTCGAGCCATCCTAGGCCTTCCTCTTCGGAAGCCTGGACTTTGTCGCCGACCGGCTCGGTGAACTGCACCTCCACAAGGAGGCTCATGTCCCGACACCCGTCGGAGGGGTGCCCTCCATCAACTCCGGGACGCACAACTTCGACGACGCGGCATCTGCGCTTCATTCCGAGCAAACTCTTTGCTCAAACCCCACTATAAGTAATATGCATACTGTTATTTACTCTTTATTTACTATCCCCCACCGATCACCCGGAGGGACTGTATCGCCCACGCCACAAACACCATACGATCGGTTCCCCTACGGCCTCGCGTCCTCCACGGATGCGTACGCTCGGGGGCTCCAAAGGATGCTGGCTCCATCCCCCCTCGTAACCGAATTCGTGGGAATGGCAGGCTGCTCTCCTACCGTTTTCCATGAACTCTCGGATGACGAGGGCGAGAGCGATGGTTCCAGCATCGACGACGTGGCACCCCGCCACTGTCCGTCCCGGGAGTGCGCTATGACGGACGCTCCGGGACAGCCGTCGGTGGTTGTGGAGTCTGCGCAGACTCACACCCCTCTAGACCCGCGCGCGGGGGCCCTCGCGTCTGCGCGAGCGCACGCCGAGGAATTACGACAACGGCGGCAGAACCAGCCGCCGCCTGCGCCAGCGCATTCGGTGCAGCACGTTGCGCCGCGTGCGCATCACCCGGCGGGTGGCGCCCGGGGCCGCGCCGGCCAGGTCCAACACGACATCGTAAATGAGGGGAACGATCCCCCACAGTTCGCTCGGGCCAGCCAGAACATTGCCGCTGCGGCGATGCTTCTGCGCGACGTTCCCAAGCCCGTCGACCCCCGGGAGCGGGAGGTCTATCGGAACCTTCGGGTTCTGGTAGAAGCCGCCGCCGTTCAACAGGTGGAAAGCTCCGCATCGTGACTCCAACATGCGCCGTCCCTCCCCACTAGGGGAACAGGGACGCACCAGACGGATTGCTCCATTCGCTCGCCGCTACAGCCGCCAGGTACGGCCCAAGCGGCGGCGGCCGCATCACGGTCCGACCTGGCGCCTGCCCCGCACCGACCGTCGGTGCACGAACGGACTGGTTCGCACCAGGATGCTCGCAGCATCGTCAGCAACCGGCATCAGGTCCGGCACGACGATGACTCCCATCGGGCGGCGGTAGGAGCAGGCAACACAGGTCCCAGCCGGACCATCGAGGGGAGCGGTGAAACACGCCCCAGGCGCGGTCGCCGACCGGACGACCGGAGTCCCAGCCCTGACGGCCCGGGACCACGGGCTTTCGGTCGACGTATCCGAAGAGCACCATTCCCACGGCGTTTCCGACCGCCCACCAACATCACCAAATACTCCGGGGAGACAAACCCAGGCATTTGGCTCGAAGACTTCCGGCTCGCCTGCTGGGCCGGAGGAGTGGATGATGACTATTTCATCATTCAGTATCTTCCCACTTGCATGGGGGAGCATGTTTGGGCATGTCTTGAATTCCTCCCGCACGACAGCATCTGCGACTGGGCAGACCTCAAGAGGGTCTTCGTCAGAAATTTCTAGGGGACGTATGTCCGCTCTGAAAACTCCTGGGACCTCAAGTGCTGCCAGCAGGAGCCCAGTGAGTCCCTGCGGGATTACATCCGCAGGTTCTCCCAACGATGCAACTCCCTCCCTGATGTCGTCGACATAGACGTCATTAGCGCGTTCCTCTCTGGGACGAACTGCGAGTCCCTGATCCACAAGCTTGGCTGCCTAAAGTCCCGTACCACCCACGACCTGCTCGACGTCGCCACTAACCACGCCTCTGGCAGAGGAGGCGGTCGGAGCGGTCTTCAGCGGAGGTCGGGACAAAGTCAAGGCCAAGCGTGCGGACCCATACGAGGGCCCCTCCACACAGAGGGGCAAGAAGAACAAAAAGGATCGGCACCGATCGGACAACACCACGATGGTCACCGCGGCTGATCGCACGGGCAAGCAGCCCCAACAGGGACTGCCTGACCACTTCAACAAGCTCATGGATAGTCCGTGCACCAACCATGCCTACTCTGTCAAACACCTCTTCAAGGACTGTGAGCTCCTCAAACGTTTCCTCCGATAGGCCGGTGGGCCAAAGGAGGGAGACGACAAAGAGGCGGTGGCCAAGAAGGGAGGTGCGGCAGGCATGGATGGAGACGACTTCCCTGAACCTAAGGAGTGCATCATGATCTTCGGCGGGTCCGACGCCATCTGGACAAAACGCTAGCACAAGGTGCGCTACAGGGAGGCATGCGCTGCCGAGACGGCCATCCCCTCCTTCCTCAGTTGGTTAGAATCTCTGATCACCTTCGATCAGAGGGACCATCCCTTCCACATCACAAGGCCAGGACGCTACCCGCTCGTCGTCGACCCCATCATTCGCAAGAAGCGCCTCACCAAAGTGCTGATGGACGGAGGCAGCGGCCTCAACATCCTATACATCGACACTCTCGATGCCATGCGCATCCCCCGATCAGAGCTCCGCCCAGCAGGCTCCCCCTTCCACGGGGTAATCCCGGGAGTGCAGGCATACCCGCTCGAACAGATCGATCTGCCCATCACGTTCGGTGGCCGGTCCAACTTCCGCTCGAAGGTCCTCACCTTCGAGGTGGTAGACTTTCTAGGGTCCTACCACGCCATCTTGGGGCGGCCATGCTATGCAAGATTCATGGCAATCCGCAACTACACCTATCTCAAGCTGAAGATGCCGGGACCA